GCTATTTTATACTATATTTACTTTGAGACATGATGGTTTGGAAGAAAAAGTTGCTCACTTAGAGGTTTCAGTAGATGTGATTATAGAAGAGATAAAAAAGTTGACAACGATTGTGGAAAGTCAAAGTCCAAACACATCATTATCAACTCATCCCAAGAATGTGCCAAAATTACAGTAGAAACTAAATTTTGACTTAGAAAGAACACCGAGTGTGAGAGGCCCGCGTTTTCTCATCAATATGGAACCTATTCACAATTCTATATATGATGGAAAGAAAGCAATGATTGGAATACCTGAGGTACAATATTCTTACTTTTTAATATTAATAACTATTTAAAATTTTTATTATCTTCCATCAACAAGTTTTATTACATATCTTTTGCTAACAAAACTATAGTGGATCCCCATGATATTTATTCCACCACCGAGCATGATAATGGATGATGTCCAAGCATGTGTAGCTTCAAATGTTTTTGGAGCGAATAAGGATGACAATATAAATGGGTAACAAACATTTTTAAGACTACACTCGGTACTACATTTTTTTAAAAGTATTATTTTGATTTTTACTACAAAAACTCTATTTTAACTTTGTTGTAGTGTGGAAACCCTTGTGTCCACCAACACCAAATTGAGAATATTTGGTGAAAGGAAAAACTTGTGGACCCTACGGCCTAAGGAGTTTGTTGGCCAAGAGGTTAAATATTCTTAGATTTAATTTACTTTTTTAGTTTGTATTGAACATGAATTCAAAATGATGTTTCAAACGTGTTATACATTTTTAGGTACTTACATTGCTTGCTTGTATGCTTACATGTCAAGAGAAGTCCACTCCAGGAGAAATAAAAAATAGCAATGAATTAAATAAAAAATAGCTTGGGCCCCATAAATCACAATGAATTAAATAACAAATAGCTTCAGCTTTATTATGACTGACAGGAAAGAAAGAACGAGTTTGCTTAGACAAAAAACAAATCTCACAAGCTTGAAGTTTCTTGACAACAGAACTAGATTTATTAGAATTTAAAAGGGAGAAAATATCTAGGGAAGGATGACCCAAACGTTGATGAAGAAGCATAGGATCCACGTTAGCCACATTAGTCGATGCAGAGGAAGAAACTAGGATGTATACTCCGTTTCGCTTTTCACCCTGTCCAATCGCCATCTTCGACGAATGGTCCTGTATTACACAACCAAAATCATTAAAAGTAACATAACAGGTGGTGTCCCGGATCAAACACTCGACAGAAATCAAATGACAATGCAATGTGGGAACGTAAAACACATGATGGAGAACCAAACTAGGGGTCACACGGACACTTCCCTTTTTAGTAGCCTGAAACCGGGAGCCATCGGGGAGACAAATATGATGAGATAAAACATCCTCAATATTAAACATGTGAGACAAAGTACCCGTCATATGATGGGAAGCAGCACTATCAATAATCCAATCACAAGAAGGAAAAATACCAGAATAAGCATGTGACGCTGAGGCTTCCAACATAGACATGAGCCGACTCATCTGACCACTCGAGGAAGATCCCGCGTCACTTGCCACGACGTGCACAGTAGTGTGGGACCCACTGCACAGTAGTGTGGGACCCACTGCTGGACGGAGCAACTACAGTGATCGGCTGCCCACTTCCACGGACAGCACCTGGAGTGCCTGTTGTGTCGCGGCCTCCATGGCTTCCAGCAAGGCCCCCTCCATGGCCTCCACGACCCCCACGGTTGCCGACCGAATTACCATGTCCACCGGGACCTTTGTTATAATGCGCGGGGAAACCAATAAGTTAATAACATGTGTCGACCGTGTGACTAGTGCGTCCTCAATGGGAACACGGAAACTTGCCGGAGGGAGGCGGACGTTGATCGCACCGTGTAGAAAAGGCTAAAGACTTGGTGCGATCGTCTCGTGAACGAACAATAAGCCGGTGACGTTCCTCCTGTGAGATCAAGGAATAAGCACGATCAATTTCCGGCATAGGTTCGGTAGCCATAATTTGAGATCGAATATGACCAAATTGCTCATCATCGAGGCCGAGTAAGAAATCGATGGTTTTGTCACACTCAACCTGCGCACGAGTGATGGCGGCAGCCGCACATTTACACCCAAAGTAAGAAACCACACTTTGTCCCTTTTGCCTCAACGAATTCAACTCAGACTTCAATTGATAGGTACGCGGTCCATTGGAACAACTATACCGCTTTTGTAAATCATCCCATAATTCCGAAGCAATTGTATGAGAAAAAATACTCGGTTGGATAGACTCGTTAACACTGTTGAAAATCCAACTACAAATTATTTGATTATTAGCGTACCAAGAAACATCTCATATTCATCGGTGAGTTTGGGTACCCCCACGGAGGATAAAAAAATAGACTTGCCACGACCACCAAGGGCATTTCGTATAGCCTTTTCCCATATGTCGAAGTTATCACTTTCCAACAAATATTTAGTGAGAGAATTACCGACACCATTCGGAGGGATGGAGATAATATATAGATAATGAATCATGGATCCACCGGGTTCTCTTGGGAGTTGATGTGCCGTCGGCTGACATGGTGAGAGACGTCGACGCGGAAGATGAGCGCTGAGGAAGACGACGGACTGGAACAGCTCACCGGCGAGGGACTTCGAATAACCGGCGAGCAAAGAACAACTGGAGAAGATGATCGCCGAATGAGAAACTGACAGCGGACCAACCTAGGGTTTACGTGATGTCCCAGGGTTTTGCTTTGATACCATGTAGAATTCAGTGAACTGAATGACTTGGTTGTTTCATTGATACCAAAGGATATAAATACATGTTACTAGCCCAACAAGATAGGCCCAATATATTACAAATAATACACACAAATGATATATACGTAATCTACGCTAACAATTTCTATACTATTTTCTAATTATAATTTATTGAATAACAATTTGTTCTTGAATGGAGGCATTCTCCTGAACGCTTGATGAAAATCTACCAACAAGATTTCATGAGAAATATTGAAACGTTGTATAAGGTTTGTTATTCACTACTTACTAGAAACTTATAAATTAAACCTTGTTATGATTGGAAATAGTATGATGCATGAAAAAATTCTTTTGATTCAGATTTTTCTTTCGATTAATGACAAACCCAAAGGAACAGAGTTGCAGAGGTCATCCATGTCTTCTTCTCATTTCCTCTACTATATAAACCCCTCAAACCTTCACCATTTTTACCATTCTTCTTCCAAAAGAGAGCTGTCAGTGTAGAGAGTAAATAGTGTTGTCCAGAGAGCTTCTCGTTGCCAGAGCTAGCCACTATCTTCACCGAAAGTTTCGTCAGAAAATTTCCAAAACCTCTGTTTAAGCTTGAGGTAAGCCCGTAGATATATCTAGTGACCAGAATGTTCGTATAGATCGTTTCTACGTTCATAAATGGTTATTTGATTGAGTTTTGTGTTTGACATGTTTGAAAAACCAAGAATCATAAACTTTTAAATTGTTGTTAAAACTACGAACTAATGATGCCAAAATGATCTATGAACCTTGGAGAACATTTCTATATAGTTTAATTAAAGTTTGATGACTTAAAATGACATTTTAGAAAATTGGCCTGAGGTTGAAGATGACACTGTTCAAAATTTATGCGCAGAACGGTATCACGCTACCGCCTGGACGGTACCTAGGTACTGCCGCTTGCAAAGTATAGTAGGGTGTACCGTGGTAACGGTAGCCCTCTACCGTTGGTTGCAGTGTTTTTCTCGAAACCTGATTTTTTGAACTATTAAATCCTATTTTTGATACCAATCAATTATGATCAATATAAATATGATTTATCAAAATAAAAATGATGTTTTTGACAAATAAAATCTTATGTGATGTATGATGGTAAGCTAGGGTGTTAACATTGACGCTCGGCCGCTATTTGTTATTGAATATTATGATGATTATTATTTATTGATGATTATGTTGAATATTATTGATTGGTGATTATGATGATTAAACCTTGATGAATATTTTGATTAGAATGATAATATATGAATGATTGAACCATGACTTAAAATTGAATATATTGATGATTATCAAATAATGTGTATTGAATTTAAGGGTGTCTAGAAGAACTTTAAGATATATCCATTTAGATATTGATGATGACTATTAAGGATATCTAGAAGAACTCTAAGATATACCTATGTGACCAATTTAGAAATTTGGGTTTAAAACATACGTACAGGATCCAAATCGGATATCACACGCCTGACAGTTCACTGTTCGGTTGGTACGTGATCCACAAGACACATAGGGTGGATCATTCGCCCATATTTGACGATTGAACTAATGTGACTACACTCAACTCATCTTTTTGAAAGGTAACCATGCAAGGATAGGCAGCGGAATATAAAAATTTTAACATCCTAACATGATTATCTTGCCCAGAATCACGTACTAAAACATATAGTAAATAAGGAATTTATATCTTTCTCCGTAAGCGGTAAAAACGAAGAAGTCGTAGGAAGAGCGTTGAAAGTGCAAACGTAACCATTCAAGCATCCGGTCTCTAACTTTGACACACAAACAACACTAGAGTCTACCACAATCTTTATGCTAGTAAAGATTATAGTAGTATAAAATATAAAGATTAAAATTGGGATTATAATAATCTTGTATATTTCTTATAGAAAATATTTCTAATAATATTTAGAAAATATTCACTACAAAAAAAATGACTTTTTGTGGCTAAGTTTTAGTAGCAAAGTTAATAATTGCCACAATACATGAATAGTCTTTAAATATTTGTGGCAATTTAAAATTTGCCACAAAATAGTATACTTATTGTAGCAATTTTATAAATATGCCACTAAATCTAAATAAGTGAGGAGGGAAAATATTAAGGGCAAATTTAATCCCGCCTAACCCAAATTGTGAAATATTAATCCCTCCATAATTTAGGTCTGCCGTGTCTATCTTCTCGCCAAAACGATTTCACGCTCAGAAGCGAGAGACGATTGTAATATACGGAGAATATTGCAATTGCTGCAGCGCGCGCAATAGCCTATATCTCATTCTGGACACGCTAGTTTCTTCGATTCTGGAACGACGACACACCCAAACTCCGGAGCTAGGTATTTATTCTTAAAAATATTCAAGTTTTTGTTTGTGTTTTAGTATAAATTCTCGTTGTTTATGAAATATGAATTCAGATATGTTCACTCTTCATAGTTGAATCTTGATTTTAAATTTCAATTCCTCAAGAATTTTTTTGTTCTATAAGAGTGAATATCTTATATGGATTTTGAGTTTTTAATCAGTATCCATCCTTGTTCTTTCTCTAATTGTTTTTCATTGTCATAATCTCAGTGAATTTTGGTTTAAAATTCCCATAGTTTAAGAAATTTTATTTTGTTCAGTAAGAGTGAATATCATAAAGGTGTTTTTATTTTTGAATCAAAATTCCTCCCTCTTATTCTTCTTCTGCTTGTTTTTTCATAGCCATGATCTCAGTCTATGGTTAATCATGAATGATTCTGGATTTATTGGAATCAATATCTGCATACAAAATCCTTGTCAGATCTATGTGAATTGGCTAGCTGCTACAACCCTTATTTGGTAGTATCGAATTCCTAAAGCCCTCCTTCTAAAGACATCATTCCAAACTTCAGTAGGAACTTGCAAAGGTTGAACTAGTCCAAGGTAGGCAGAGTCACCATCCTTGTACTTGTGACAAATTGGGTTTTTGTTAAATTAAATAGCTGCCTCTATTTATTTGATCCAGTATGTATTATTTTTTCCTCTGATTTAGCAACTTCAGCCCCCTCTACAACTAGTTCAGCCCTCTTCTTAACGTATTTTGACCCCTCTCAAAGGCCTTGTGATCATAACATCATAGTCCACTTGCAACTAGAATACTCGTGGCATTAACCACACTTGCAGCAGGCATAAACTTGGCTCCGACCTCATTTGGTATGAACCTTTCTATGGATAAACTAACAGATTTAATATGAAGAGAGCCTCTATGCCTGTCAGATACTAGCTTAACCAGCCTGCCTTGCTCTTCTATTTCATCTGGAATAACCCTAAGTGTTGGGAGTAAGGCCTTACTGATGTTGAATATTGGCTTAATTTATCTTGTTTCCTCTTGGCCACTAGCATACTCCTCAGGTTTTGCATAGGATCCAGGGTTAAAGGTCCCTACATTGGCCTTACAATGGGGCTTGAATCCTCTTACAACATTGTCCAAAATTTAATCCCCTGTTAGTGATTGACTTTTCAGCGTCATAACAGCTTTCGGTTTTTCACACTTGCCAACATCCTCCACGCTTTCTATTTGCTGGTTTTTGAACCTAGAACATTTCTGAACCTAGAATTTAGATCTTCCACAAAATCCTCCCAATTAAAGCTATGTTTTGATCCTTGATTATCTCTGAATATAGAACTTAGACCTACCACAAAATCCTCCAAATTGATGTTAGGTCTGCCCATCGCATAACTATCGAACCATAATTTGAATCAATTGGAAGTGTTTCAATAGGGCAAAGTGAACCTGCCCATAAAAGTTCTTGAGATAAAAAGCTGCATAGGAAATCTTCACCTCTGTTTTTTAGGAGCCCCTATTAATGAATTATATTATGAAATATGTCATTGTTTTCCAACATCATGTAATAGGTTTGAGAGGAAATAGAATGTACAAGTTTAGCATAGAGTAGGCTTGATTACCATACTTGTGCTTTATATGAGCTAATTGTTATACATGACTTGATTATGCTTTAAGGTTGCATCGGAAATCATTTTCTGTTCAAGATAACTACCTCTTTGCAAGTGCACAATTATGTCTTCCAGGTATGCTCACTATTTTTTTTAATTATCATACAATTCATTATGGCTTTATTGCTAGGAATTTTTTTATATCCTTTGGTGTTCTTTTCGATACTTAGTTGTGATACTGAATTTAAGCTTTATGTGTTGTGTGTTTTTATGTTAGATTGTGCCTACTGCATACTATTTTCAACAGCATTATTTCACTTTTTTTGCTTGTGTGCTCGTGTGATATCACAATAAATTGTTCATTTATGTAATAAATATAAGTATACTAATATGTTCCTGGTTTAGAGAACGTATGTATATCACAGGTGATAGGTTGAGAAGTATAGCAAGATCTAACAAAAATCAGACGCCATCCAAGGATTTCTTTACCATGCGGAAGACAACAGATTATGAAAGGCAGAGGGAACTCAATATTGAAAGAAACAATAAGAGGTTTCAGGAACTTGGGATACCTGCGTTAGGTTCATCATTGAAAAGAGTCAAAGCAAATGTTATTGAGAATAATGTTGCTGATGGGGATGATGAGTATGTTCCAACATACGAGGAGAGAATGCATGCTAAAGATGATGAGAGTATTGCCTTAAAGAAAAACAGCACATTGAAGACTTCATTTAAAAACCCAATCTCTCGACAAACCTCAAGTTCTAAGCCTCATACTCAAATGATCTTTTCTGGTAAGTGAACTACAGGTATATTAATTCAAAGTATTTTACCTTGACAGTTAGTGATATATAATTTTTTTTGATTGATATTAGATGAAATGTTTGAAGCCTCTTCGAATCCGGAAATGACCAACCTTGCAACAAGTATGGGGCGTATTACTAGAGGAAGTATGCCATTTTCAAATAAAATTTGTGTTACGCTATATGTTGGTTTGATTTTATAAAAACATTCTTCCCTTGTTGTCATTAGAAGAAACAGGTGTGTCTGGAGTAGAAAGGCTGAACCAACATCGCATTCATGCATATAATTTGAATGGAGGTGCATCTGAAAGACAAGCTTCAATAACAAGATCAACCACTTCACAGAATGATTTTGTTAGAGTCCCTGAAAGAGGTAGTGGTTCATTCAATATAATTTCATTCTAGTCGTATTGTTATTAGAGCAAGTATGCTTTTTTCTAATAAAAAATTTCATTTCACTTTATATATATTGGCTTGATTAATAAAAATACATTGTGTATTCTCTTGTAATTTATTAGAAGAAACAGGTATGTTTGAAGTAGAAAGCCTTAACCAACATCATACTCATGGAAGTAATTTCGATGGAGGTGCATTTGAAAGACAAGCACCACCAACAAGATCAACCACTTCACAGAGAGATTTTCTCAGGGTCCAAGAAAGAGGTAGTGGTCTCTCAGGGTACATTTTCTCAGGGTACATTTCTAGAACAGATTGTTCCGAAAAATGTGTGATTTATTCTCTTCTTATTTATTAGATGAAGTAGCAGGCCTTCACGAATATCGGACTCCTGGAGACATGGATGGAGTTTCATTTAAAAGACAAGCCCCAATAACAAGATCAAGGACTTCACAAAGAGAAATTCTCCCAGTCCATGAAAGAGGTAGTGGATCATTTCTATTTATTTCCTCTAATTACAATTTGTCGACATAGACTTAGTAATTGTATATGTATTATTGAACTGTCATATATAGGTAGTAGAACTACCAATATCTTAATGAATACAAGTGTTGGAGATGAAAATCATATGAACTCATCCGTACAACAAGGTTTGTTATCGCTTTTTTTCATTTAAGTTTTTCACATGCTTGCTAGTACATGAATAGAAATAGTAGACTAATAATGAATTTTTTGAAAGTATATAGTTTATTGACAAGGTAGTCATTTCAAATTTAATAGTTTGTTTCTCTGCCTAATAATTGTCATTAACTTTTGTTGATGTCATTATTCTAGCTACTCCAGTACTTCGTGGGAAAACAAAATGTCAAAACTGGAAGAGAAAAAGGGATATCATTCCAAACAAAGTGGAGATTGAAATCCCACCCGAGCTTAATCGTGTTGTCGGGATGAACAGCACTCAATTTATTAGTGAAGCGAGTTATTTGATGAAGCAATGCATGCCTTTGGATGTAGAGGATTGGGGTCATATACATCCCGATAAAAAACGAAAGTATTTCATGAAATTAAAGGTTGCTATTTAAATATGTTATTGTTTAGATAATGATCATAGAGATGAAGATTAACACTTTTATTATATGTAGGAATTATTTAAATTGCCTGAAGGGCATCATGGTATAGAAAGTGGCGAGCAAACACCTGGTATAGAAAGTGGCGTTACGATTTGAGAAAAAAAGCCTATTCTGATCATCCAACAGTTGCTGGTCGTCTTGCTAATTGTCCTAGTGAAGTAGATCCTGAAGAATGGAAATGGTTGGTGAGTTACTGGGATAGTGAAAAGTTTAGGGTACGTAAAGATACTTGTTAGTTCTGTTCTTCCCATGGCCATGCAAACATTAAATGAAAAACAATATTCATCTTTTAAGCATGGTTTGTTTTTCCTTTTCGTGTTTGGAATTGCAGCGACGCAGTGAGACAAACAAAAATAATCAGAAGTCTCAAACAATGTTGTCTAAAGTTGGCACAAAATCAATTGCAAGTTCCTTCTACGATATGGTAAAATATCTTTGCATTTAATGTTTCTATTTCTTTTGAAATTCATTTAATATTTCAATTCATAGGTTACTATTGGTAGGAAATTAGATTTTTTACATTCCCTATGATTAACACAATCATTAAAATTTTAGCTACAAGCAAAGAAACCAGATTCAGATGAGTGTGATGAAGAGAATCTATCAGAAACTGAACACGTGGAAGACAAACCATACTATTTGGCCCTATGGGAAATGTCTAAGAAACGTAAAAATGGCACTTGGTCGGATGAGTATGCAGAGCAAGCGTATGATGATCTCAAAGCATTACATCAGGAACAACTGGATAAATATGGAGAAGATAATCTCACTCCACAAGAGGCTTTTGAGATTGTCCTTAAACATAAAAAAGGGTCAAATCATCAAAGGGGCATGGGACAAGGAGTGTTGTCATTTCATTCTTATGTGAAGAAGGATATTACAAAGGTTCATGAGCAAGAGAGGATTGATACTGAAGTGAATAAAAGAGTGTCTGAAATTAATGAAACTTATGAAGCTCGTATCCGTGCTCTAGAGGAAAGATTGGCTTCTTTACCACGTTCAGAGGTATATATAGTTCTCGTACATTTTTATGTATTTTAAGATGCATATGATTACTGTTTATCGGCCTAGCTATCTTTTGTATACAGGCATCAGGTAATTCATCTCAGTATGTTCATTTCACTTCCAAGGAGCATAGCCCCCTCGGATGATACAAGGTACTGATTCATCTATGAAATATTTATTACTGTTTCTCATTGGCTTCCCACTTAATTAGCTGCTTTCATTTTGTGGTGAATCACTTTGTACAGTTTGCCACTTTGTACATTTTGTGGCCTTGTTTTCTGCACTATTTGTCATGCAAAATATGTTTGATTGGTCTGATGTCAATCCATTTGAAGTAACTGCCTGTTTCATCTCTGCCTTTTTCCCACTCAATAAGTTAGGGTTAGAGAATGATAATTTGGGTCACTACATTCAGCATCCAGAATTGCAGAGGCAGTCAATTTTGAATCTTCAGTTCCTATCTACTACACCGCTTGCTTTGGTGGTTGTGTTTGTAGTGCAGACTTGAAACTTTGAACCTAACTTTGATTGGTTTTAATTAGGTTATGAAATGTGGCGTTATATGTCAGTGTCTGAGTAACCTCTAAATGTCTTGCAAAGCATACAAGGACAGTACAAACATGGTCCCTTATAATTACAGTTTTATTTTCTTAGAGTTTTAGAGTTTTATTTTCTTAGAATTCTTTGGTTATTACGTATAATATTGTACATAGATTTCTTTGAAGTAAAATTTAATAAATAACACTAATATTTATTATTACTGTCATTAAACTCTTTTGTATATTTCCCATAGATATCTGATCATGCCTTTAGCTCTGGTTGCTATGTTCATTTTAAACACTATTTAATTTGTCTTACTAGATTATTTCTTTATTAATTTTATTTTTTAATATGCAGATCAAGGGTGAATATGAAAGATGCCATTCAGTTTCTATGACTTTGGTGGAATTACATTCGAGATAGATGTGACAAGATGAAATGAAAAGATGAAGTTTAGATGTTAAGCGTTTATGATACTATAACAAATTGTCATGTTTAGTACTATATTTATTTTATGTCAAAACCCTATTATATTAACAATTGTGAACCTTTGATAGTTTGGGATTGAATTATGAGTATCATATATGTTTTGTTTTTATTATTATTTTACATCACTTTGCATATATTATTAAATGTAAAATTTATGTACAATACAAATATATATATATATATATATATATATATATATATATATATATATATATATATATAAAATAATAATTTATTAATTCTTACTAATATTAGGTTTGCCACAAAAAAATGATAATTGTAGCAATTAATATTTGCTACTAAACATGAATTTTTGTGGCAAAGTATAATTTGTGGCATCATAAATTAGCTACTAAATATGGCTTTTTGTAGCAAATAATAAATTGTGGCAACTAAAATATGCCACTAAACATGACCTTTTGTGGCAAATATTTATTAGTGGCAAATCATAATTTGCCACAAAAACTATAATTTTTGTGGCAAATTCAAATTTGCCACAAATACCTTTTGTAACGGGGTATCTGTGGCAACCTTGTGGCAAATTTCAAAATTGCTACAAATAACTATTGTGGCTAATTTTTTATGTTTTGTGGCAAAATTTGGTGCCACAAAATATCAAGTTTTTTGTAGTGATTATAGATATTTTCTATACAAAAAATGATACTAATGGAACACTTAAAACAGCATTTCTTCTCTCTAGAAAAATATATGGCCGAAATGTTTCTTTCAAAGAGTGATTATTTAATTTTCAAAGTGGCTTATGGCATGAATAATATAAATAAAACAAAGATGTGATTAACTTTTGTCATTAGCTAAATGATAAAACAATTAGCCCACTCAAAATCAATCAAAGAAAATTTTGATTCTCCTCAATCCCAAATGGTCGAAAATAAAGATTGTGATTGTGAGAAGGATTTTCAAAATTCTTCTCCACTTAAATGTTCAAAGTGTATTTTATTTGACACCAAAAATTAATACAAAATTAATTTTAAATCAAATAAAATACCAATATCATTTTTAAACAAGCATAAAAATACTTCAAATAGTTTATATCAAAATAATTATTTTCATAATTAAAATGACAAACCAAAATAAAATATTCAATGTATAATATATACATACATACATACATACATACATACATACATATGTATATGTGTATATATATATATATATATATATATATATATAACTGAATATTTATATATATATATAATATTATATTCCAAAATATTTTATTTTACTATTTTTACAAATATACAAATTACTTACTCCCTCCGTCCTAAAACTTTCTTCTCAGTTTGACTTTTCTCCATTTTTAATTTTTGGCTTTGACTTCAAATTTTACCCCTCTTAAAAAAGATTTTTTGAAATTTTTTTTTGCAATCATTCAAAATATAGAGTTAGAAGATAATTGGTGTAAATACATGAGAGTATTAATGTCATTTGTCATCTTTTATTTTCTAATGGGAAGGTAGTTTTAGGACGGAGAAAAAGGGGAAGCGAGAAGAAAGTTTTAGGACGGAGGGAGTATTATCTAATTGTTTAATCCTACTCCTTAAATTGTACAAAGTGTGTGACCCGTATAGGCACTTATAAAGCTGGCCATAGTATTGGCTCTGCACCAATACTATAAACAATAAGCGGTATCTAGCAACACATTATTGCCCTCAGATTATAAGTTAAGACGTTTGCACCGTCAAAACCTTTCCACGACTCAGACTCCGTGTTAGGGGTGACCAAGTACCGAACCGATACCGAAAATTCCCAAAAAAACCGAGAATACCGAACCGAAAAAGTACCGAGAAGGAACTGAACCATACCGAACCGAATAGTCGGTACGGTATTAGGGAACGGTACGAGGTGATGTCCCATACCGAAAATTCCGAACCGAACATATATACTAAAATGTTATAAAAAATAATACCCCAAAGTAATATTTTTATATAGTCCTTCACTAAATAATAATTTATTTAAAAAAAATTTGGTTCAAGTTCTATTATATGTGTAAATTATACTTTTATTTGAGTTTAAGTTTTTGTGTATAAACATAAAAGTATTCACAAAGATTCGAAATACTCTTTTATTGTCATTCATTTTTTTAGTTTATGAAATATAAACTAAGTTTTGATATGCATCTCTTGAATTTAAATATTCATTTTTGTTAATTTTTCATGTTTTTTATTTAAAATCAATTTTTAATTTTCAAAAATAAAGGGGCATTGTTAAATTTTAACGTGTAAAGTAGGCATGTATATTCATCCCAATTTATACCGAAACCGATACCGAACCATACCGAACCGATATTTTGGGATCGGGATCGGTACGGAGTAAAATCCTATACCGAATCGAAATATTTGGTACGGTACCGGTACGAGCTAAATACCGTACCATACCGTACCATGCTCACCCCTACTCCGTGTAACTGTATCCCTTTGTCTCAATGTCTAGACTTAATGCAAGGGATTAATAAAATCCGACTTGTATCCATTAAGTCATTCACTTATTTATCAAGTGTGACTGGTAGGAACAGACGTCATAAAAAGATCTCAGCATGGCCATGCAATTTCTTTGATCAGTCATAACTTATCAGTGGGCCCCATAAGATATTAATCTCTTGAAAAGAGTAGTGACAAATCCTATGTACGTAATCTACGTTTCTGAATACGCGCTGCGGCATACCCAAAGCAAAGCCTGTATACCATCCTTATTTCATATGGCTTAGGACAATGCATCAAAGCATGCGGGTTCACATATGCAAAAAACGTAATACTTCAAGTCGAAGGATAGTTACACCTGTGGTCGCGCTAAAGATGCTTAGAGCATGAACTAAAAGTTCAAGCAACATCTTCAGGATGGGTCAGTCCGGCATTCTATTATCTCCAGATAATATCTGCCCATGTGCAGATGCGAACACACCTTCATTGACTATGAGACTAAGTCAAACATCCAACACACACTAGTCTCACATGCATTAACGATATCCTACTCTCGTTAATACTCGACTATGGACATTGAGATAAATATTTATTTCAAGATGTTAGTCTCATCAGTAGAATAACACTATCTGATAAACATATTTAAATATAAATCAAGGAATACAATATTTGTTTACATTAGCATGAGATGTGTAAACATATTATATCTGCCTATACATGATAGAATAACGATAAAACAATTGGCCATCAAGGCACAACTCCAAGACTTTTGAGGGGGACGCTTTACAAGCGCGGGCATTATCTTGCTGATGGAATATATTCAGATTATTCCACAATTATCAAGTGGCTCTCGAACTAATCGCTGTTAAACGGAAGACAGACAAAAAAACTCATGCGGCGGCAAGAAAGGATATCGAATGACCCTTTAGGGTGTTGAAGGGTAAGTGGCACATTATAGATCAACCGTCCAAGTGTTATTATCAAATGAATATGATGAGTATCTTGTACGCATGTATTATTCTTCATAATATGATTATAGAGAACAACGGGTTTACAATTTGTCATTACAACCCCAAACAAGGAGGTGCCTACCTACGAAGAAACGACAAAGAAAAATGATAAGAAACCTCCAAGAAATTCAAAGTCGAGAGAATCACAATGCACTCATGGCAGATTTGATTGAACTTCGTCGCTCTTCGTAATATAATGTAATTTTTAAGTTTTTCTAGTAGTTCAAGTAATGCAATTTTTATTTATTTTGTTCTTATTAAAATCTTTTTTATTAATAAAATTTTATTTTTGAGTAAATTCTCTAAATAGTCCTTTATAAATGGGGGGTTTCCATATTTTATCCACATTTGTCAAATATTAAGTAGACAGTCCTTATTAACTGAGTACAATTCCACGTTTAGTCCTTCGTCTATTTTTCCGTCTCCGTGCCATTAGACAAGGACCAAACGTGGAATGGTACCCAATCAATAAGGACCACGAAAATAATATTTGATAATATGAACAAAATAATGAAATCCTCACGTTATAAAGGACTATTCAGAGAATTTGTTCTTTTTAAACAACTTTTAATATAAAACTTAATAGATAGAAAAAATGTATAACTATAGTTTATTTATAAAAAAATCAAAATGTGTACACCATAAAAAGTAGTTTATCAAAAAATTCATTTTTTAATATGAGAATTTGTTTGAAATTGATAGGAGTTAAAAATAAATTTGAAGTTATTATCGCCTTTTAATAACATAAGAGCTTCAAATTTTTAAGTAAATCTCAGAGTAAAGTCTTCATCGACTTAACCCTTTCTGGAACATCTTCTTCCTCGGATGATGATTTCCCTGCCTCCCCGGCTCAATCCAACGACATGGCCGGGTTGAGTCCTGGCGAGTTCTCAAGACTTTATCCAGCACCTCGTCTTCCTGCGCCATCACCTCCTACTCCGCCCAGGCTTCCATCCGGAAGGATAGAATGGGACGCTATGACCCTCTAAGACTTCGCCTTGTACCAGAGGATGCGCAGGGTTAAACTTGGGCGTTCTTTTCCGATTGTTGAGGTGGAACCTTCACGTGAAAGCCGGACAGCTTCTCCAAACCTGCTGAAGTCTCCCGATGATGGTTCTTCATTGGGAGCACCAGCTCCCCGTCCAGGGACGTGGGAAGACTATGACATGGAGGAAGCTGCTGATTCCGCCGCGTGCCCCTCGTCGAAGAGAAGGAGCCCATGGAGGGGGCCCCCACCTCCTTCTTGTTGACTGCATGGATGCAATAGGCCCCCCTTCAGTGCCTAGCCCCATGCAGATCAATTTTCCTTTTCTTGTTTTATTTCAAAAGGCATTCGCTTGTTTGGTCCAAGAGTTTTTCCTCCGTCCCATACTAAGGAATGTCCTTTAATTTTAGACTAGGAATTATCGTTGTAATTTAAAGATACAACCTTCGAATCAGCAACCGATGAACTTCCCTATTTTCTGATTTCTTTCATCTCATTAGGAACCATTATTGTGAACCAAACGTGTAACTTTTGGCCCATCAATGTAGTCCTTTATGTTATTTCCTTGCACTTTATCTAATGCAAGTACAAACATATTTCATTCTCTATATAAAATCTCATCTCCTGGGGTTTAGACGTGC